GACTCGCTTGAGCCCAGGAGTTGGAGGTTGCTGTGAGCGTGATGCCATGGCAGTCTACCCAGGGGGATAGCTTGAGGCTTCGTCTCAAACAAAAAGAATAAAAGTGATGTCTCACTTGTGAAGCCCTTGCCTTCCAAGCATGTGGTAAGGACCAGTGGCTGGAGTTAGCAAAGCACTTTGCCCTTCTCAGATAAGCATTGTCAACAGAATTTTCACAGTGACCACACTCAGGATGAATAAAGCTTTTAATAAAACAGTCTTGTTCTTTATCAATACCTGTAAATTCTCTTTTAAAGCAGTAGCAAAGGCGACTGTAGCAACAGCTCAAAAGGCAAGGCAATATTGGAAAGTGTTTTTAAACAGAAGGTTAAAAATATAAATGTAGAAGATCTGTTTATATATTTTTCTTTCAGAAATAAATTTCCCTCCCCCTACCAGGTGGAAGGAAATATTGCACTTTCTGCTCTCATGACTAAGGTGACAGGGGTTCCAGAAGAACCTTTCAAGATTATCAGGAACATCGGGACAAGGGCCATTTCACCTAATCAGACCACGGGGAGACAACCAGGTCTCCAGGAGGAAAGCACTGCTTTCAAGTTCCAGCGGGAAGCAATGTCCTCCAGCAGTGTCCTGCCCTGCCCAGCTCCCACCAGAAGCAGAGCTTCCCACCTGTGCTCCCAGCCCAGCGGCACAGGCAGTTCTATCCCACCTCTGCTGCATTCCTGCTCACAGTGGCCAGGGCTGCCCTGGGGCAAGGAGGGCAGGGTTGGAGCCAGGGCTCTGAAAGGATTATTCCAGTACTATGCCTACGACCCCTGCTCTGGGGACACTACAGGCACACTGAGGAATAGTACGGCCACCCTCAGAGCTCACATATCCACAAACAAATGAAGGCTTGAGGAGATTTTTAAACCTAAAGTCTATGTGAATGTGCACTTCAGCAATTCAGGAATGTTGGGACTTGATAATTTGTCCTGTTCCAAAGCCTTTCTTTGATAAAATAAATTCTCCCTTCCCATTTGGATTGTTGTGGGATCAAAGGCTGTTCAGGAATTGTCTACCACCTGGTGGGGCAGTGTAACAGAGGAGCCATTAGGGAAGGCAGCTGGCTTCTCCCGTCCCTTCAAGAAAAAGGTCAGCAGCTCCCCCTTCCCCTTCACGAAGATGGGACCTCGCCTCACAAAGCGGAAGCCATACTCTCGAAGGATGACTTGTGTTTCTTCCACCACCTGTGGTGGGAGAAGAGCACAGGAGGGCTTAAGGTTAGAGGGTGAGACTAGGCTAGGGGTGGCTGCAGGGGCTTTGGGTGATTGGGGCTGAGCACTGATCCCAAAGGTGCTAACACCTACAAGTTCACAGGTCCCAGGTGACATTGGGACCCTGGTTGCTGTCCTCCAAACCTCCCAGGGCCAAGCCCTTCCATCCCACCCCCAGCGGGCAGCAGATGAGAGGAACAGAACATCAGGTGGTCGGTGGGACCTCCACTGCCCTATGGGAACAGCCACAGGTAGCCTGTGTGTCAGCACTACTGTCTGGGAACTTTTACTCCTATGTCCTCTCCTTCCCTGTCCCTTTTCTACCAGACCAAGTTGATACAGATTAGCATTGCTTCAGTGATAAGTGTTGTCGACACAAGATGTCAAGAAACTGATACCAAGAGGCGGGTTATTCTCATCCAGAACTTAAACCTAAATTTTGCAAATGGGTTCAAGCATGTTCTCCCTTCTGCTAATGCAGCTATAGCAGAGGCATCCCTTGCAACTCCTGCCCTTAATCTCATGGCACTGCTGGCTGACTTCTGGGCCAGGTGAGGAGGCAATAGTGCATCAGCCAAAAACCATTCTGATTTTGTTTGCACTCCCTTAGTCTGAGCACACTCTCAGCCTTGTTGGACGTACCTGAATGTTGCCCATGACCCCTGTGGACTCCATCCTGCTGGCTACGTTGACAGTGTTGCCCCAGATGTCATAGTGTGGTTTCCGGGCTCCAATTACCCCAGCCAAAACCCCTCCTTTATTCATGCCTGAAGTAGAGGCATAACGTTAGTACAGCCACCTGCCAGATCCTGTCATTAGCTTTTCTCAGAAGCCATTCTATGGAATTTGGCACCTAAGCCTACCACAAAGCTCCTAGTTAGGTAACATGTCATATTCTTTGTTAAACTTGGCTGAGTTACTGGACAGCAGAAGTTGTGTGTCCCATTTATCCCAACCTTACTGTGTGCTTGGTAAATGTCAGCTGCCCCCAATTTGCTAACTTGGCACAGTAGTGGCCCACTTTTGCTGGTGTTTCGAGTCTCACCAAGAAGGAATGAGATTTCGGTAGGGGGAGATGGTGATGTTAACTCCTTTCAAAAGGCAGGCTGGTCTGAGAAGAGCCACAGAAACCCCGTTGGAAAGGCAGATTGCTGACTGCTTGAAGGCCAGGCTGCCACTGGAAACAGCAGGGACAGGTATAGCTCGACCATCTCACCAGATTTTCAGTTTGATGACCTGAAGAGACCGGACTAAAGGTCCTTCAGGTCCCTTCTAGCTCTGTGAGTGTGAACCTCCCTGATCCACAAGCCTCAAGTCTTCCTAAGCCTCTTGTCCCTGAATCCAAGGGGATACACGGTGCCCGGAGCCCTCACCTATGCGCAGCATGAAGTTGTTGAATGACTGGTTATTGATGTTGGTGAGCGTGTCCTTCATGGCAAGTGCGAAGTCGGCCAGGTCAGCCAGGTGCTGCCAGCGCTCCTTGTCGGACTTGTCCTCCTGTGCCAGAAAGCCCCAGAGGATGCGTCAGGAGCCATTCAGCCCTGGGACTGCAAAGCCTGCTCACCTTCCTTCCCTTAGCCATGTTCTGCAGTGGATCCCTACACCTAGTTGTTTGAAACTTTGTTTCCTTTCTCCCACAAAGGAGTCAGCAATCTCGTTAGCTCCAACTTGTCAGTATGACAGAGTTCACATGTGTCTTCTAGCAGATTGGGGGCAAAGACTCAGGAATGGTGGTAAGGAAGACAAACCCTGCCCAGCTCAGCTGTTTAGTGTGTACGTGTCTGGTCAGGCATGAGGCAGCTCTGCCTGCTTGATAGTCTCTGAAGGTGACCCTGTCTGGATTCTTCAACTAGATAAGAAGCATTTGAGGATGATGACCTGCCTTAGACATGTTTCTTTAACCTCATCCATGTAGCAGAGGTGGCAGTAGCACTGACAGCCTGAGACAGCCGTAAAGGTGAAAGAGGATAACGATGTTTTAAGAACAGTGCTTGGGGCGAGGCACATTGGATCACACCTGTAATCCCTGTGCTTTGGGAGGCTGAGGTGGGAGGATGGCTCGAGGCCAGGAGTTTGAGACCAGCAACATAGTGAGATCCCATCTTTAGAAAAAAAACTGAAAAATTAGCTGAGTGTGGTGGCATGTGTCTATAATCTAGCCTGAAGAGCCTAAGCCAGGAGAATCATTTGAACTCAGGAGTTCAAGGTTACAGTGAGCTATGATGATCCTAGTGCACTTCTGCCTGAGTGACAGAGCAAAAGCCTTTATCTTAACGAAACTATTTTTTATTTTTACTTTTTTTTTTTTTGAGACAGAGTCTCATTACCTTGCCCTCAGTAGAGTGCTGTGGCGTCACAGCTCACAGCAACCTAAAACTCTTGGGCTTAAGCAATTCTTTTGCCTCAGCCTCCCAAGTAGCTGGGACTACAGCACCCCCCACAATGCCTGGCTGTTTTTTTGTTGTAGCTGTCGTCGTTTGGCAGGCCTGGGCTGGGATCAAACCCACCAGCCCCAGTGTATGTGGCCAAGCCCTCTTAACAAAACTGAAACCCAGTACTTGGGACTTGGGTCCCCACAGCTCATTTCCTCTCCTGGAAGCTGTCTCACAGAGCTCACCTCGGAGTTTTTATCACTATGTAATGGTACAGATGGTTCCTGCTCCCCAGTTCTTATGAGAGCACAGAACCTTGAAGGGCCTGTCCACAGTGCACGTGAATAATTTTAGTCCAAAGCTGTAGAACAGTGATGGGGTTTGTGTGTGTGTGTGGTACTGTTCTCTGCTCACTGAACTTTCTCAATAAATCCTACTTCATATTTATACTTATTTACATGGTGCTGGTGGTGTGTGTCTCTGAGCCCTTCCCACAACAGCTCTCAACTTCTCCTTTACTCTTGTAATGACATTTCCCACATAGTGTCTTGCCTCAGGGAGCTCTTCCCTGTAGCCATGGGGCAGGGATCGGGGTTAGCTACCTTGCTGGAGCTGGTAAAGCCATTGGTGTTGACATCTGGGGTGACTCCTGAAGCTGCCATGTAGGTGCTCCCAATGGTTTTGATCTTGGTAATGACTCGGAATTTGGGATTGTCCAGGAGCTGAGATCGGGATTAAAAAACCGTCAGCAGAGTCAAGGCAGATGAATGAGCCATCTAAATGACAGATGTGCCTATTTCAAGGACCCTACAAAGCATCCTAGAGTCCAAGAGATGCTTTCCTATAAAAGCTTTTATTCCACTGCTTATCTACCATACGATCCTAGGCAAACTTCCTAACTTCCTGAGCCTTAGTTTCTACAACCTTAACACTGAAATAAAATTGCCAGTCTCCTAGGGTTGTAAAAGCATTTTCCTTAATAAATAAGTTACCTAATAAATGTTTGCTGAAGCTGAATTACAGGGTAGGAGGAATCAGAGGGGCCTCAGGATCCTGTCTGGCCAGTCCTTATCCTGTGACCTTGTGATTTCCCAGGCTCCCAGCTTACCCACACAGACCCCACAGTTACAGATGGCTGCAGAAGTCCATATACTATCAGAGGACCTTATCTGGGAAAACATAGCTGGTCTAGAGTAACTCGAACTTCTCTTAGGCTTCTGTAGCCTGTCCTAGGACGTAATCTGGAATGGGCCAGCTTTGTGCAAGCTAAGGAGGCAGGATGAACACTCACGGAGTCAAAATCTGAGATGATCTCATTGAGGAAGCGCAGACACTCAATGCCACCATTATTGATGCTCTCCTCTGTGTAGAAGTCAGCAAAGTTGGGCAGGGAGGCAAACATGACTCCAATCTCATCATATGACTGGCTGTACAGCTCCTAGAAAGGCAGGGCTAAAGGGCTCAGAGTCTGGCTGGGTGATGTGCTACAGCAGGGCTTTTCAACCATTTTTATCTCACGGCATACTTAACCCTATAGTTAAACTTCAAGGCACATTTAAAGTATGTTGATCAGAAAAAAGAGTGAAAAGAAAGAATATATTGTGCTTTGAACTTCTTTTGAAAATCATGATCTTTAAAAATTTTCCCAGTATACCAGTGTGCCACGGCACCCCAGTTGAAAATCACTGTGCTAGAGGACCGCGCCTACCTTCCACACCTGGGTGTGTGCTCAGAGTTGTGGATTCACACACCTCTCCAATGATACCAACTTAGGATGATTAGAATGTAGCTCTCACTATTTTGAATAAATAAAAGAGCTTCTCTGGTTCCTGTAACAGCCCCAGTTTTGAAGAGGGTACAGTGGACGTGGAAACTTCTATTTTGAGAAGACCACAGTCGACAGAAAAGTGGGCTCTAGCCAAGGTCTTGTTTTCTGAAATGCAGCCTCAGAGATGTATGTCCTGCATAAATGACGTTCACAACAGTACCCTTTATAAAAGGCCCAAGAGGCGGTGCCTGTGGCTTAGTAGGTAGGGCGCCGATCCCATACACCAAGGGTGGCGGGTTTGAATCTGGTCCCCACCAAACTGCAACAAAAAAATAGTTGAGCACTCTGGCAGGCGCCTGTAGTCCCAGCTACTGGGGAGGCTGAAGCAAGAGAATCACCTAAGCCCAGGAGTTGGAGGTTACTGTAAGCTGCGACACCACGGCACCCTACTGAGGGCAATAAAGAAAGACTCTGTTTCTTAAAAAAATAAAAAATAAATAAATAAAAGGCCTGAGAGACACTTTTTCTTACAGCACTGATGCCATTTAGGTCCAGCCCTCCTGCAGTCCCCCCGTAGGGAGAAGGTCTAGGCCCAGGGGGGCTCCCTGAGAGGAGGGACAGAAGAAGACAGTGGCCTCCGGGGTCTAGGCTACACCTGAGGCCTTGCCCCCTCACCTCATCTCTCTTTTTAGACCCCAGGAAATGGCGTGCCACATGTTCAGGCAACATATTGGTGACCAAGGCCTCGTTCCAGCGTCGCATTTCATAGACACGTTCTTTCTGGTCATGGACTTCAATCTTCCACAAGAATAACGTCCGTGCCAGTTTCTCCACCTGCGGACACAGACAAGGCAAGATGTGTGTTCTAAGCTGGGTGCTGAATGGGGGGGTTCTGCTTGGAAAAGCTGGAAGGGAAGCAGCTAAATGGTAAGGGAAGCAAGACCACAAAAGGATTCACCTGATCAGAAAGGCCACCCTACCCACCCTACGGCTTCAGTGAGGACCGTGGCCTCTCATTACAGCAGGATCTAAGGGGCCTTCCATGTATGTGGGGCCTCCTGGGATCTAACTGTAGCTATAGGTCTGTCCTGTGGAGGTGGCAGCAATGGGGATCTCCCAGGCCAATGTGCAATCCTATTTCTAGCGGGGTCCCTTTGGCTGAGAAGTGACTTGGGGAGGTTGTACTTTCCCTGGAAGTCCACTGGGGGGCACTTGCGCTAACATGGAACTGTAGTCCTCCTCTGGGTCCTTTCCTGCCCTCTTTTCCTCTCTCTCTCTTCTGGCTCCATGGTCAGTGTGCCAGTGACCTCTGGCACCAAGGTGAGTGCAGACGCCTGGAGCCTGGCCTAGTGGACAGATTTTACCAGGCCTTTGTGGCAGCATTCCCTCCTCTCCTGCCCCAGCCCCAAGCTTCCTTCACCCTCCTGGAGTCAGAGGACAGGTACAGAACTGTTTTCCTTGTATTCATAATCAAGGAAGAAACCAGAATACAGAAAAGGTGGTGGCTTGACTGGGTCACGTGCCATGATGGGTAACGGGAACCAGGGTTCTCAGGAGCTTGGGTTCTTAGCCACAGCGAGCACAAGAGGAAAGGAGGGTGCAGGCACTTACATGGCGGGAGAAATAGTAAAAACTCAGCGTCATAATGAGCATCATTGCTGTCATCGAGTACTTGGAAGGCACCAGGGGCAGCCTGCTGGGCAGAGAGGGATGTGAAGGGGAGACTGAGACTGCAAAGAAGGTCAGGTCAGTCTCTCTGAAGGGCGGTGCTGTTTCCTGTCACGCTGGGCCCTTCCACATCAAGTCCAGATCCCCAGGAGGGTAACGTGTTCTTACATCACTGGACTCCCAGGCAGCCACCCCTGCCCTCCCTGCTACATTCCATGTTCACATCAGGGCTACACCCTAAAGGTAATAAACACTGTATTGCCCAATTGGTCAGAGGCAGTTACCTGTGTAGGAATTTGGAGAAGCAAGAGACATAGGACTGGGGTCCAATTTCACCATAGCTTTTTATAACTTTCATCCCCATTTTCAGGTAGAACTACAGTTAATTTCCATTACTATACAGTATTCTAGTAGATGGATATACACAGTTTATATATCCATTTACTGTTGATGTCATTTGGGTTGTTTTCATTGTTTTGGGGGCTGTCTACAATGGACATTGCTGCTCTGGACATTCTTATACATATCCTGGGGCATATAAATTTCTCTTAAGATACATATATCTGTATGAGGAGAATTGCTAGGACATGGGTCTATTTTCAACTTTACTGAATAACTTCACATTTTTTTCTGCTATGGCTGTACCAATTTATATCCCCACCTGGAGGGTAGGAGTTACCACTGTACTGGATATTGTCAGACTTTAATTGTTGCCAAATTTCCTTGAAGGTCTCTTCAAGTCACTGAATCATATAATGCCAAAATCTTAACTCTGGAAGGGACCTTAGAGAATTCTAGTTATGGAATATAAGACTCAGGAAAAGTGACCTGTCTGTGACCCCACAGAGAACTCAATAACTGCTGCGAGGGTAGAATCCAGATATTCTAGTGTGTTACTTTGCTCATTTTCCTGCTACTTGTCTGCCCTGCCAGCCAGTTAGATGCAGCTATTCTTCCTCATTCTCCATGAGCGTCTGTGTCCCACCCTCCACACCCCACTGCTGCTCTCCGCGCTTCTCTGTCCCTGCTGCAGAAGAGGCCCAGGTGTGCAGGTCTATAGGCCCAGATGTGCAGCTCTATAGGCCCAGATGTGCAGCTCTATAGCAGAGCCATCCTGCCTCTGCTGCAGCCCTCCTAGAGAAACACATGCCAGACTGCGGGCCTTTGGGAGCGTGAGATCACAGGGATTGGCCTGTTGTATTCCCTGTCTCCAGAAGAAGGTCCCTAAATGCAGACCGGTGGGAGAGTGGGGGGGAAGGTGGCCCTTACCGGTAAGTGCCATTGAGCCCAGCAGTAGAGAGGACCTGCATCTTCTCCAAGGCCATCATAGGAAAGCTGCCGGACAGATAAGAGCACACTCAGGCCCGCCACGAGCCACACACTGAGGTATCCCCCATCTTCCACTCTCCCCAGATCCTAGCCACCCTGTGACATGTCTGTGAGAATCCATGCACCCAGGTTCCCATATGAGCCTTTGACAAGCCCCAGAGGCAGAAAGCCACCTCGGTAAAAGCCCACAACCTTGAAATGGGAACTTGGAGGGTGGGAGGAAGGAGACAGTGCAGATCCCCAATCGGGTTTCATCTTACTTGTGTTCCTGAAAACGTTTGTGGTCATATTCATCAAAGATGGAGCTCCAGGCATAGAGGTTGATGGTGGCCACAGCACCCGTGACAAGCAGCATGAGAGTGAGCTTCACCATGTGGCTGACCTGCACCAGCATGATGGTGGCGATGAGGGACAGCACGGCAACATAGTTGTAATACTTGGGGTTCTCCAGGCAGCCGCCCTCCACGTCCATCCCTGCCGTCCCGTTCCTGGGTCCTGAGTAGTACTGGAGACAGCTAAGCTGGAGGCCGGGACAATCGGGAGGGAAACACATGCAAGGAGACAGCAGAAGCTGGTCAGAGAGGGCTGCACCATGGCAGTGTGTGTTCAGCTGCCACCTCCCAGGGCTCCCTCAGAAACACCACAAAAGATAGGAAAATTTACCAGGAAATAAGCATTCAGAAGTGAGTAATTGCTACTAAGTTTTACCATCATCCCATGTGATATTCATAAAAATTCTCCAAGTATTTTTAGTTCTGCCCCTATTATATATTAAATTCCCAGGCCATACTTGCCAAAAGCAGCACAATTAGCAAGTAGTGAAGCCAGAACTAGGAGCCAAGCCTTTAGGCTTCGAATCCAACGTGCTCTTCCCTTTCCCACACCACGCTGCTACTGCAGGAGGGGCTGTGGCGGCAAGCCTCCGTGGACCTCCCTGTGATGATGGCCAGGCTCTGCCCAGGCACTTCCATCTGGGGGACACTACCTTCTGGAGTCTACTCATGGGTTTTACTGCCAGGCAGATGCAGCTAGTAGGAAGTGCGCCCATAAGAGAATCAGGCCTACCTTTTTGAATCAATACCTTTAATCCACTGGGGATTGTCTTGCTTAGGACAAGTTCTCAGCGTATAATTCTAGTGTGTACTAAGTTTCATTCCTCCCTAGTTTTTACCCCTCCATGGGTAATGGCATCACCAGATGTCCTGCAGCAAGTCTGTGACCATGTTAGACAGTGGTCTCCAGACCTGGGCATAGGCTCCACGGGGATTCTGACATGCAAGGGCTCTGGGGCTTCCCTCCCCTGGGTAGTGGGCACCATGCAACTCATGGGCATGTTAGGTTCCACTGCTCCTAACACCTTTTTCTGGCTGGCGTCCTGATGAGTTGTGGCCCTAAAATAGAGGTCTCCAACCTTTTTTACCCCCTCTTTGTTCATTAGAAGAATAAGAGTTGTCTTAGACCACACATTAAATATATAAACATTAATGAAAAAAATTAGCAAAAAAAAAAAAAGTCCATGCATACTTTTCATGATATCCAACACCAAAGAAAAGCAAAAAAGGTTGGACACACTGTCCTAGAGCTTTTTATACTAAGTCAGAATAAATCTCTTTGCTGAATTTATTCTTGTGAGTAAACTATTAAAGAAAACTACAGCAGGTAGTATGACCAACATCATATTTGAGACCAGGTAGGACTGTTTAAGAGCGTGCACCTGGTACCACCAAGACTGGAGGAGGCTGTGACAACTGACCAGAGAACCCACTCAGAGCTCCAAGCGCTCGGTGCTCAATAAAGCCCTGGTGGTTCTAAATCAATAGGTCTGGGCTTCTAAATCCTGTCCCTTCTCCCCAAGAAGCATCTTTCTGCCCCCTTATTCCCACCTCTCCCTGAACAGAGGAGAACAAAGAACAGAAGATGCTTTTGTCTGCCCGCAGCCACTTGGGCTCTGTGAAGCTGCTGTCCCCCCACCTCCCCTACAGGAAGGTCTGGCAGTGTCAGATGGGTGATAGAGAAGCAGGATTACAACCCCCCAGTCCCCAGCAGACACCTGGCACCAGCCACATGGTAATGAGTGCTAAGGTGTGAGAGCGCTTGCGAGTATTGTGCACCTTACAGGGAGACAGGAAGGAAATGCAGGTCTGGGATTCGGGACTGCTTCAGTTCTCGGCTCTGTCACTTATTGGCTGTGTGACCTGGAGCAAGTGAATTAACCGTTCTGAGCTTTAGTTTCTTCGTGCTAACTTCTCAGGATTGTTACAAAGATTAAACGAGGCACTGTATGTAAAGCACCTAGTGCAGGACTGGGCATAGGCTCTTGGAGTTTGGGAAAGGCCCCGTTTGGGAACCTAGATGCTACTCCAAACCTGCATCTGGTGGTGGGAGAAAGGACTGACAGACTGCTCCTGCTGCCCACAAAGAAGCCCTTCCCCACTGAGAATGAAGTGTCCTTTCAATAAGGACAGCAGGAGCTCACCATGTCCACAACATTCGCCATAACCAGGATGAAGATGGCTAACATGGCCCAGGTGTTCCTGGCCCAGCGGGTCCGGTCAATCCAAGTTGAGAAGGCCACAAGCTTCTTAGGAAAGGCCTGCAAGGAGGGAATTTGAAGGGCCACAAGCCTTTGAACAGCCGTTTCTCCTACAGTCATGACCACTATGGCTGCCCCCATACTGCCCCCTGGCTGACCCTGGCTGTCCCAGGAACCGAGAAGGGAGTGCTTTGCATGCAGGTCAACTGACAACTGACAGGCACAGAGCTGTGACGACAGCACATGACTCCTGGTGCTATGTCAGTCCTACTCAAGGCATCTGTGTGACATGATGGCTCCAAATCACAACCCTTCCAGAGCATATAGTGACTACCCCAGGAAGCTGCAGCAGCTCATGCTCTCGCTCCTAAAGGCAAGGCCAGCACTGGGAACACGTTCAGGGCTGGCTGCTCTGGCTAGCTACCTGCTTCTCCTGGGTAGCCACCTGCCAGATTAATTTTCCTAAAACACTGCTTTTCTCTTATCATTTTGATCAAAAGTTCTGCCGGCAGCCCAGTGTCCAGAGTTCTAAAAGAGGAAGCCTTCAGAATCGGGGCCACTGTCTTTCTACCCAGGTCCCATCTATCCAGACTCTGCCTTTGTCATCACACTGCAGCCCCATAGCCCACCCACAAGGCCCAGGGTGGGTGCTCAGCTGGTGGCAAATGAATGGTGCACAAAGAGATAGATAATGCCTGAGCCATCCTATCAGAGATAGTCCATCAGGATTTAACCAGAAGGCTAACTCCATCAGCACCCACCTTTACAGGGATGCCACTTACTTCCAGGGCTATCCGAGCCCAACAGAAAAGTGCCTCTTACCCGGGGAAAGATGGCTGCCAGCGAGCAGGTGGTCAGGATCAGGAGGAGAATCTCCCCAACCACAAAGGTCACGTAGTTTGTCATAAGCCTGTGACAGAGAAGAGAGGGATCAGAGGGGGCAGTGTGACTGGTTGAGGGGCTAGGAGAGGGAAGGAAAGGAGACATTCACAGGAGACCCCCAGCATGACATGCGTCTGTACAGGAGATTTCCTTGTTGACACCGGGAACTCATTACTGCAGGCTGCACAGAACAGGACTAAGGGGCCCTGACCACAGGAGGTACCAGCTGAGAGCAGGCCTGGGATTGTGCCACTCTCCCAGCTGTTGCTGCTGGCTAGAACATTTCCCAGAGAGGGGATGACTCACAGATACCTTGGGCAGAGCCCAGTAAAAACTTAGACGGGGTCTTAAGAATGTGCATCTGCGGCAGCTATGCTGACAGGACAGAGCGTGAGCCAGGGAGGCTCCCTCACTGCAGGGAGCTGCTAAGCGTTTGCCTTTGACCTCTGTACAGAGCTTAACAGTGGGCACGTCCCTCACATGTCCACTTATCTCATTAACTACAAGAAATGTGCTGTCTCCCAACTCTCCTCTCACCCTTCCAGCTAACCCCTCCATGGAAGGTACTTTTGCCAAGAGTCCCAGAAACATCCGTGTTGCTAAATCTGTCAGATTCTCAGTCCCTTCTCATCCCTCCTTGAAACGTTTTCCTTGCTTGGTTTTCAGCCCCAGCTGGTTCTTGCCTGTGTCCCATCTGCACACACCGCCATGCCAGCGCTCAGCCCATCCAGTCTGCACTCTCCCTTGATCTCATCGGTCTCCTCTTCCTGCGTATGTAGCGGCCATCTCAAACTTAATGTCCCAAGGCAAACTCCGGATCTTTGCCTCTTATCTCTCCTCTTCCCACCCTGGTTAATGGCAACTCCATCCCACCAGCCACCCAAGTCAGAAACTTGTCCCCCACCCAGCCTGTCAGCAGATCCTCTCAGCTCACCCTTCAAAATGTGTACAGAATCTGCCCATCAATCAGTAAAATTCCACTTATCATCATCTTCTCTAACTTCAGCCTAGCCCGAGTCACTATCACCTTGCAACTGGTCTCACTGCTTCTACCCACCCCACCCCCCTTTTCTTTTGAGAGAGAGTCTCACTATGTTGCCTTCTGTAGAGTGCTCCAGCGTCACAGCTCATAGCAACCTGAAACTCTTGGGCTCAAGCAACTCTCTTGCCTCAGCCTCCCAAGTAGCTGGGACTACAGGTGCCTGCCACAACACCTGGTTATCTTTTGGTTGTAGTTGTTATTGTTTGGCAGGCCCGGGCTGGGTTCAAACCCACCAGCTCAGTGTATGTGGCTGGCACGCTAGCTGCTGAGCTACAGGCGCTGAGCCCCTGCTTCTATCTTGCCCTCTGAAATCCTTTTCAGATACACGTCACAGCAGGTGATTCCCTCACTGGCTCTTGCCTCTGACCTTACAGGTGGAAGACAGCACCCCTTCCACAGTCTCTGATGCCTCAACTCTCTGACCCTGACTCCCGCCACGCTCCCTGTCATGCCCTCCCTCCCAGATGCACCGTCCCCTTGCTCCACCTTTATACCACGTCTGACACAGGTGTCCCCGGATATCCGAAGGCTCCCTCCTCACCTGCTCCAGGGCTTCCCTGAAACACCACCCTGTCAGCGAGGCCTGCCCTGACCATTCTACATCAGAAGCAAACAAAACCAAACTCCCCTGCAC